TGTGTGTGTGTACATGTGTGCATGTGGGAGCCAGGGCTTGATCACCTTCCTGCACCTTACTATTTGTACTTTGACAGTGTCTATAGTGATTTTGACCATGCTCACCCCTTTACCTTCTCTTTCCCCCTCGCTCTCTAACTGAGCCCCCTCCGCCCCTCTAGCCCCCCTCTACTTTCATGTCATTTTTGGACATTTGATTCGGGTTGCTTTGCATGTGCATAGGGCGAGGGGGCGTAATTTACTGGAGCATGGGCAACTTTCCATGGCCAACTTTATGTACTGAAGAAAGTGTCTCCCTACCCAGTTCTTCTGAGACAGGGTCTCCTTTTGAACCTGGAGTTTATAGCCCTCTAGGCTGGCCAATGGGCTCCAGGGATTCTCCTGCCCCCTCCCTCCAGTGCCAGGGTCACAGAGGTGGGAATGAGACTTTTACATGGTGTGGGGATGTGAACACAGGTCCTCATGTTTCCAAGGCAAGTACTCTATGGGGGAAGAGTCCCTCCAGGCCCTCCCTCCGGGCCTTTTCCAGTGCTTATGTATTAGCATGCCTGGAAATATAGGCGATGTGTAATATATGGTTTATTTGCACCACAGTATAAGACATAAAATAATATTGTCTACATTTCTAACTTTAGAACCAACCTGAATATGTTGAATATACTTTTGAAAAAATAATATATAAATGGGGATATATATATATATATATATAAAATTTCTAGTTTTGATTGAACAATATGACATAAAAATCATCCAATCTCAGTAGTAATAGCAATAATTCTCTCTCTCTCTCTTTTTCTCTTTCTCTCTTTCTCTCTTTCTCTCTTTGAGACAGGGTCTTACTGTGTAGTTTTGGCTAGTCTTGAATTTACAGAGATCCACCTGCCTCTGTCTCCAAGTGCTGGGGTTAAAAACCTGCATCACCACACCCTGCAACTTTATTCTTTTAAGTGGCTGTATAGTGCTTTATAGTGTACTTACTGTTATTTAAACATTTCCCGATTGATGGGCTCTTAGATTGTTCCAGCTTTATCTATCTGCCTATCTTTATTTATGTCACATTTAGAATATTCCTGGATACAAATTATTTCTAGGAGTAGAATCTGGGTCAAAGAAGATACACATTTTAAGCAGTTATTTCTTTCTTTTTTTTTTTTTTTTTCTTTTTGAGACAGGGTCTCACTATGTAGCCCTGGCTGTTGCAGAATTCACTATGTGGACTAGGCTGGGCCTCGAACTCACAACTCACAGAGATCCACCCGCCTCTGCTTCCCAAGTGCCAGGATTAAATGCCTGCACCACCACACCCAGCTTAACGAGTTATTTAAAGAGTTCCCTTTTGTCTACTGAGGTCTGAGAGACTGTTGTAAAGGAGATCTAATTATTGTACTTATGTAAGATTGCTTGCTTAGGGTTAGGTCATGTAGTTTAAAAAAAAAATCACAACATTCAAAATTGTAAAAGTTATATAAAGTAACAGCTCCACCCCACTCCTGTTCCCAGCCCCGTATTTCCTTTTTGACTTATAGCCAATGTTGCCAGTTTTTGTTTTTCATATCTGATCCATACACCCACAGGTGGAACAATATGTATCGTTTCTTCTTTTTTCTTTTCCCTTCAGAATGAATGCGGCACTGTACTTTATACCCACTTCTGCATATGACATTTTGAGTTTATCCCAAGTCTTAGAGAACAACATTGGTTGTGAGCATTTTAAATGCTAATAGATTCTTCTACATTCACTCTTAACATTTAAGAAATCAACTTGTATCTCCTCTGATTCCTCTGTCAATTCCTTTGCCATTTCCCCCCTTCTGGTGGATTGGAATCTCATCAACTTAAGAAGCCCCGCCTGGATTCTGGACTTTGGTCCACCTGTTGCTAACAAATCAAATGTTTTTTTCCCTTTCTGCCTTTCTTTGTTGCGTGAGTGTTTACCTTTCATGAGCTTAGGTTTGTGTTGTTTCTTTCCTGATGGCTCTCTGTTTTCTGTTTTTGTTTTCCTGAAGCTCTGTCCAACTTCTCTTAAGCTTTCTCGAAGCCCTGTCCAAACCCAGTCTCTTAAGACAGAAACTTAGAGGCTAGAGATGCACACTTGCCTAGCATGAACCCTGGGCCCCGTCCCCAGCACGAAATAAAGCATTTATGGTGACATACACTTTCCTAAATTGTGTCTTTCTTTTATGTATTTAATTATTTATTTTTCAATTGAAAAAAAAAAGTGTTTAGAGGGGTTGAGAGATGATGTCTCGGTGGTTAAGAGCCATCTCACTGCTCTCGAAGAGGACTGGAGTTCAGTTCCCAGCTCTCATGTCTGCCGCTCACAACTGCCTATAAACTATTAGCAGCTCCAGGAGAGGCCGGTCTCCCTAGGTATCTGCATTTACAAACATGCGTAACCCCCCTCCCCTCCCCCACAGACAGGGAGACAGACATACATGCTCAATGGCAGAGCCCTTAGCTAGCCTGGCATGCAGGAAACCTTGGGTTCCAGCACTGGGGATTGGGGTACACACAGAACTACTGCATCTATCCTCCTCCCAGGTTCCCTCTCTTCTGTGATCTCTGTGGTCAGAGTCTGTATCTCTCCTCAAGTCTATTTTCTTTGCCTTTTTAAGGGATGTTTCCCACCACGTCTTAAGGGTGTGCTTTCCTTGGGCAGGCAGAACGGGAGCAAGGGTGTGGTGGGCACTGGGGACACTGTTGAGGTACAGAGCTGGACAGTGGCAGTGTCTGGAGAGCTGGGAGTGACTTGGGATAGCAGAAGTGGGAGACATCTGCTAATGAGTAAAGCCTGCAGGTGTGGGGATCACGTGGTGCGGCCAGGCCTGTGTGTGGAACCATCAGTCTGGCAGAGTGGGAAGGGACAGATTGGAGTGGGGGTGAGATCAGAGATAAGAAGGAGAGATGGAAATGTCTAATTCCTTGTGGGGAGAGGATGGCGCTCTGAGATGGGTGATGTCAGTAAGGATGAAGTCTGGAGCTAGACTCTAGTGATGCACAGGATGTCTTCCATAGGGAATGGAACAGATCAACATTTATCAACACACACACACACACACACACACACACACACACACACACACACACACACACACAATCTTATTTTGCCCTGTATGGACATCTAAGGTTTGGACATGCTCATGAATTGACCCAGGATCACTGTCAGGGTCAGGATGAGTGTCAGTCAGAGCCGGAGCCCTCTCAGGATTATTTGACAAGAGCAGTTGAAAATGGCCTAATTTTCTGTTTGTTTGTTTTTTTAATTTTTAAATTGCATGTGTATGTGTATATGCTTGCATGTATGTATGTGCAGTACATGTGTGTCCAAATGCCCTCAGAGGCCGGAAAACAGCATGAGCTTCCCTGGAACTGTGAGCTGCCTGGCCTAAGTGCTGGGAACCGAACCCAGGTCCATGGCAAGTGCATCATGTGATCTCAAACTGCCGAGCCGTCTCTCCAGCACATGATGCTTTTTAAAAACAGACAGGGTCTCCAGCCCAGGATGGGCATGAACTCCTTGTATAACACAGAATGGCTTTGATCCTTCTGCCTTCACTTACCCAGGGCTGGGGTGACAGGTGTATGTCACCATAAATGCTTTATTTAGTGCTGGGGACGGGGCCCAGGGTTCATGCTAAGCAAGTGCATCTCTAACCCTCAAGTTTCTGTCTTAAGAGATGGGAGAAACATGAAGAATCGTGTATGGGGACATTAGGAGCCAAGATGGTGAATTCTATTTCTTTGTATATGTCATGTCTGAGGTGCTTGGATGTGTTATATATGGGAGAAAAACA